GGGTGAGGTAGAAGCGTGGACAGAAGTGAAATATTCTGAACATTGGTACGACATTTGTTGTAAAAATAGGCGCCAAAGACACAATAAAGACGTATTGAACTGAATGTATTTTATTAAATACAATACACTTAGCATGAACTTATTCGGAAGGAACGCTATAAAACGAAATACGAATACCCGAATAATAGCTACGACATAAATGTTCGGATGTGTCTAACATCTCTACTCATGCCGGTTGAAGCGCGAAACATACATGTGACACGAGGTCGAAAAAACAATTACACTGTACAAAAAATTCAAAATGATTATATACAATAAAGAGGTCGCGATCTGAAGGAAGATCTTGTAAGAAATACTTTACAAAATAAAATAGGTGCCTGTATTCCCAAGCATGAAAAGTAAACAATGATGGTGTCTAGGAAAAGAAATTTATAAAGAAAATGAATAAAAGCGAATAACGCGCCATCCGTTACTAATGGCACTGCCAAACCAAATTGAATGAATGAGAGGGTAATGCAACGTAGTTATTGTAAATTGCAGATCAAAATGATATCATTTAAATCTCGTGCATTGTCAGAGTATACATGCAGACAAAATTGAAAAACAGTGTAAAAAATACGAAATAAAATTCAAACGGTTCTACTCCTTGCAAATGAGACTAAAAAACAAAAGGTATTACCTAAGGGATTGATACAAGTGTAGTTGCATATGAGGTGACTAGGAAGTAATTGTTAAAGTGCACCTAAACCCAAAAATTTTTTTTCGCTTAACGCAATAAGCTTATTTTTTGGAGTATTTCCGAGCAAAAATTTTTTAATTTGCTCAAATCTTTAATTTTCTGTGCCCAGTTAAAATACAGAAAATCGGCCGCCATCTTGCCCCACGACCGAGTTTAAAGAGGAATGGCTCTAGCGGGTAATGTGACGTCAAATCGAGAACACGAAAGTCTGCATTTCACACATTTTCACTTGTTTGGGAAGGTTGTAGTCGATATTGTCCGAAAATATGCCGACTAAGTGTGTTGTAGAAGGATGTAGCAACGTGCGAAATTTGCAAGAGGGTATCGCGCTTCATACATTGGATCAACAAATCGACCAAACGTATTAATTTACCAACCAATCTGCCAGTTCATTCGAGAACACGAAAGTCTGCATTTCACACATTTTCACTTGTTTGGGAAGGTTGTCGTCGATATTGTCCGAAATATGCCGACTAGGTGTGTTGTATGAGGAATGTATGAAGCGCGATACCCTCTTGCAAATTTCGCACGTTGCTACATCCTTCTACAACACACTTAGTCGGCATATTTTCGGACAATATCGACTACAACCTTCCCAAACAAGTGAAAATGTGTGAAATGCAGACTTTCGTGTTCTCGATTTGACGTCACATTACCCGCTAGAGCCATTCCTCTTTTAAACTCGGTCGTGGGGCAAGATGGCGGCCGATTTTCCGTATTTTGACTGGGCACAGAAAATTGAAGATTTGAGCAAATAAAAAAATTTTTGCACAGAAATACTCCAAAAAATACGCTTATTTCGTTAAGCGAAAAAAAATTTTGGGTTTAGGTGCACTTTAATGGTAACAAAGGAAATCGTAAATGGCTAGACGGTGATATCATGAAAGCATCCATTTGTTCTGGTAGCAGGTAAATATGAAATAAAAGATCCCATATTCCACTAAGAGTGTAACTGGGATTAATGGGTAACAAAGCGGTTTGTTCAAATAGTTGTGATAAAAGGGACTTTACATAAAAATTGCATTCCCCGACGGGTAAAAATAAAAGATAATGGTCCAGAGATTGTAATAGGATTAGGGTAGAGTATATAACAAAATCGTGCTCAAGTAAGATCATGCAGAGGGATTCTTGCGAAATCTAAAAAAGATAAAAGAGATGAGTGTTTAGGAGAGGATATGTGATACTGTGAAAATGCACGAGATTTCTATTTTCTAAAATTCCTTGATGGATGGTGAATCTACTTCTAACGGAGGTATACTCGAATAACAAATGTAAAGATAAACAATAACAAAACACAGCTGGGAAAGACAGAATAAAGTTGAAAACGTTCCAGCTCAAAAGCATAATTAAATGAAATGTCTACGACATAATGGGGTCTTAATCTGTCGTTAAAACAAAGAAAAAGTAGGGTAGTGAGATCGTTTAATGCGTAAAAAACAAGACTGTTAGAAAATAGGTGTTGTTGTGCTATGGATAAAATAAAATCTCCCGGGGGTATCTGTAATTTAATAAAAACAAAAATAAATAATGGCTTCTTCTACAGAAACAAATTCCACATTGAAGAAGAAAAGTTGGGGGGAGATAGAAAACGGCCAGAGGTAAATACATCGATGAATAGAAATGGGAAAAAATAAATAAAGGAATCTGTTAAACGGTCTTTCTAAAAAAGATGCCTGTGTATTTGTAAGAATCTCTACACGCCGCGAGTGCGCGCGCGAATTAAGAATGGAATGTAAACCCCCGCATGCCAACCCCAAAATATTGTATAAACTAAAATATTCCTCGAAATGGAAATAAGGGCACTGAGGGAGAGAGCGTATCTAAGAAGAAAGAAAGTTAGTTATCAGTATAGAGAAAGAGTTGATGTTGAAAGCGAGTAATGGTATGTACATAAATAGGATAACGAACAAAGATTTGAAAAAAAGGCGCCAATTGTAAATGAATGGATGTTATGAAGGATACTAAAAAGTCACCGAATCTGAATAAAGTATTTGTGTATAAATGACGGTCTATAGTACTCGCGAAATAATTTCGAAAGTCTAAAAAATATTGGTTCATATCTGAGGGGTAATATATTTCCACCTTTATGTGTTGGTGTGGCATGGCTGGTCTATGCTGTAGAGTACATTTGATATCGAGAAACAAGTTTCGTAAATAACTAACAATAAACGCATGTTCTAGAATAAAATGCTGAACATCTAGAAGCATATCATCTGATATCTAGGGAAAGGAAAAGGAAAGGTTAATTTAGAATGTTAGGAGAGAGAAGATTTTAAATAACAAAAAATAATACTTACATCGCGTATGCAGGCTTCCAAAACACTTGGACGCAGCAATTGCTCCAGTTCTGCTATGGCTTCCATCCGTAGCTCCTCGCGGTGTTCGTGTGTTGCATTGTCGAACTGATTGGGAGTATCATTGATGTCATCGATAGGAATGGTGGAGGGTCTGTAGCGGGCAAGAAGCTCTGCAGGGTAAGGGGTACTACAAAGACCACAAACAGCCGAAGTCCGCACGTGATTCCGTAAACACCGGCGGTGTATCCAATTTTGACAACATGGTGTTGCCGTAGCGCTCACCATGTTGATACAAATTTGTAGGACGCAGATGAAACAATTGACAGGGTTTCCAACTTGGAAAGGTGAAATATTTTGAATTCGATTTGATCGTCTGGGATTATTCATCACCTGCGTAGATATAATATAAAGGTGAATGCAATTTTTAAAACTAAAATAATATACGAAAAAATGATACTTACGGAAAGAAATTTGCGAATAAAAAAATATTCCAAAGAGAGTACTGGATATGACGCAAAGGAGATACGAGTACAGAATGTACCGTTAGAAGAAAGTATACAAGTATATATTCTTCACTGAGTCATGAGTGAAAGGTGTCAAAAATAACACAAACTTGAGGAAAAACAATTACCTGTCATTCATTCATTTGCAAGGTAAGCAAAAAACGCAAACTGTCAATCATACGAAAGACGCGGTAAAATTAATATTCCGCCGTTAAAAATATTCAAATATGATTGGTTATATACCCACGCTGCGTCCTCACGTGGCAACGATATAATTTTCCTATATAACTAGCAGAGGTTCTAGCGTCAGTACAGAAGTTGATTCCTTCAGCTAGAAGAAGCTAGAAGCCAGAAGAAAGCCAGAAGTCAGAAGACCAGCAAGAATAATTGAAAGTCATGCCCAACAATAACGTAAGTGTTTGTATGAATGGGTTGTTCTTTTAACAAATCCTCTGGGAATTGAAAAGTGTGTATGATATTCAAATTTCACTTACTTTACCTTTGTAAAGAAGAAGTCGAACTTCGCACACATCAATGTTTCATCCAACCCGTCAACCCAAATGAAGATAAACCCAAGAAAAAATCAAAAAGCATATTAAAAAGACAAAGAAAAAATAACCCAGATGTCTCCGAATACTTTGAGCCACCAATAAAAGTATGGGCTGATTTTGAAGCTATGCTGGACGAAGACGGTACTCATATCCCCATTCTCATCGTGGCTGAAACTTCAGAAAGCGATGAGGCGTTTGAGTTTTATGGTCCGGAATGTACCGGTGACTTCCTTGCCTTCATGGACGAGTTGGCGTACGGTCCACCAGATAACATCAGAAATTGGGATGACTTCAGGGAAGTCATCGGTATATTCCATAATTTAAAGGGATATGATGCCGTCTTCCTGCAGGAACAAATGGTTAAAGAAAATCGTCGCTTCGAGTTCCTCATCCCTAACGGAACCAAGAACCTCAGTATGAAAGTGGGAAAGATCACCTTCAAAGACAGCATGTGGTTCCTTCCCATGTCCTTGGCTTCGTTCTCCGGTACGTTTGGTATCCCCGAGTTAAAGAAAGGTTTCTTTCCCCACAAGTTCCACACCCCCGAAAATCAGAACTACATTGGTCCCCTCTCCGCCGCTGAATATTATGACCCCGATGGAATGTCGGAAAAAAAGAAAAAAGAATTTGAGGCGTAGTATGCTGAGGAGAGCAGTAAGAATCTTCCCTTTGATCTCAAAAAAGAGTTGATTGCGTACTTCCGTTCAGACGTGGCGTTACTGAAAGCTGGTTGCCTTAAATTCATTGACGAATTTAAGGCCATTTCCAAATTTGATTCCATGGAGAAGTGCGTGACGATCGCCCAAGCCTGTAACAGGTAATCATGCGTTGATTTGTTCAAAAACTATCACCAATAAATGAATTTAAAAAATAATATTCTTGGTTTTTTAGGTACTGGCAAAAATGCGTGATGGCTCCCGATTCTATCGCCATCGAGCCAGAGAAAGGATGGGAAGGTGCCACGCCCAACCACTCTCACGTGTCCTTGGAATGGTTGACGTGGACAGAGAGAAGCCTGGGCACGAGAATCCAGCATGTGCGTCAGGGCGGAGAATTCAGCATTCCCCATGGATCTCGCGTGTATACTGTCGACGGTTACGTTGCAGAAACGCGTACAGTCTACGAGTTCCATGGGTGTTTGTTCCACGGTTGCCATGACTGCTCTCCCAAAAGAAACCAGGTTGCCTTTGCGTCCGCCGGTCTTAATGTGGAAGCACTTCGTCACAAAACAGCCCAGAAAACTGCCACATTGCAACGATTGGGGTATACTGTCGTTGAAATGTGGCAGTGTCAGTGGGAAAAACAAAATAAATCTGACCCAGATCTCCGTACCTTCATCCAGTCCCTTACCTTCACCACACCCCTTCAACCGCGTGAAGCTTTCTTTGGTGGAAGAACTGGGGCGACCACGCTCTATCATCGAATCGACCCCACCCAAGGAGAGCAGATCCGGTACGTGGATGTCACCTCCGAGTACCCCTGGGTGAACAAATACGGAGAGTACCCCATCGGTCATCCCACCATCTACCTGGAACCTGCCAATCAAGACCCCTACGCCTACTTTGGCTTTATGAAAGTGTCCATTCTCCCACCTACCCATCTGTTCAACCCTGTCCTCCCACACCGCCAGAAAATTGGTTCCGCCTTTAAACTCACGTTCCCTCTCTCCCGTTCCTGCGTCGGAGAAGAATCGCAAAAAACCCATGCAAGAAAGAAATCACGTCTGCCCCCACACGGACGAGGAACGTATGCTGACGGGAACGTGGTGTACTTCCAAAATCCACAAAGCCATCGAAATGGGGTATCAGCTGAAACGCATACACCAGGAATGGCATTTCGAAAAAAGACAGCGTGGACTCTTTGCTCCTTACGTCGACACTTGGTTGAAAATTAAACAAGAAAGTAGCGGTTACCCCGCCTGGTGCCAGACAGAGGAGCAAAAAGCCCACTACGTCAAACAATGCAAGCAGAAAGAAGGAATTGACCTCAACCCCACCATGATCACCAAAAACCCTGGAAGGAAAGCTACAGCCAAACTGATGTTGAACTCCTTCTGGGGCAAGTTTGGCCAAAACTGCAATAAATCTAAAGTCCATCAGATTTCCCACCCAGCAGCATTATTAGATCTCCTCGACGACCCCTTACAGCAGGTTCAAGAGGTTCGTATCCTTTCCCCCGAGTTGGTGGAAGTGGTTACTAAACGCGACGACCAAGATCCAGAGAAAGGCCGTGCTACTAACGTGTTCATCGCTGCCTTTACTACCTGCCAGGCCCGCTTAAAGCTATACGAGTCGTTGGAAATATTAAGAAATCGAGTGCTTTACTACGATACCGATTCGGTAGTCTATAAGTGAAAACCTGGAGAGTCTGAAATCCCCTTGGGGGATTATTTGGGCGACACGACAAACGAGCTAGAGGATGGAGATTACATTGTCGAATTCATTTCGGCAGGTGCTAAAAATTATGGGTATGTCACCGTCAAAGGAAAGTGCTGTGTTAAAGTGAAAGGTTTTTCCCTAAATGTGCGCGGAATGTTACAGTTGAATTACAAAATCATGAAAAATAACATTTTGGACGAAATTCAACATCCCATGGATGTGTCCAGAAGGACTGAGATTATCAACCCCGAACATTTTGTAAGGGACCCGATTAAAAAGAAAATTAGGACAGAAACTCAAATAAAATATTATAGGTTAGTTTTCGATAAGAGAGTCATAGAAAATGGTAAATTTAGTTCGTTACCTTACGGTTACGCCAGACTCGATGAAGAAGACATGGAACTAGTTCATTTTTTAGCGTTTTAAAGATTGGTTTTTTATTTTTTTTTTCCAATAAACAAGACATTGTTTTCAAACAGTGTTTTTTTCAATTCACAAGACTTTTGTGCATTTCCCTTTATTTAACCCTTCTAAAGTGTAAAGTCACGATACTTGCTCCGTCTTTAGTAAATTGCGCTAGATGATTATTTTCCGATTCGCTGAGTTGCGTTTCCACTTCGTCGATATGTTGATTTCGCAAGGGGATGTAATGAATGTGTTTCGGTTCGTAATCATAACTCCCTTTCAATAGAGGGCGATACTGAAACGTGCGCAACAGATCGGTGGTCTGATCACCCATGATCACTGGTGCACACAGGGAGGAGTAGAGATAAAGCGTGCGAGGAGCCTTTCCGTTTTTATAGGTACTTTCTTTAAGATTGATGAATGTAAAGTTATATTCACTAAGATAAAACACGATAGAATCGAGCTCTATGTTATCTTTACCGGTGAATGTTCTCTTAAATAATCCGTATCTAAAGAGATTATAATTTGGGTCTGAACGAGTGCTTGAAAACTCCGTCCCACGCATTTGTGCAACCAGATTCTTCCCAGGTTTTTGCAGCGTTTTTCCTTTGTAATTACCACTTCGTGTCCATCCAAATAGTTTGCACATATCTTCACGTATTTCAAACGTCACATAAATCACAAAATCTAGTAGCGACTGAAATGTACTTGCGTCTACTTTTTCAGAGGATACAAACATAGAGCCCGTTTCCTCGTTGAAAAACATATCAAAGTGCTGCTGTTCTTTCCCAGGTAATGCTACTAAGGAATGATCATCCGTCAAATTATCTAAAAATAGTCCGTGTTCTCTTTCAAACATCATTTTCACGAAATCAAAGACCGTTTCCATGCGTGTATCTTTTATATCTCCAAAAGTCACATCCGTTGTAATGTATACTTGTTGCCTTGATGACTTTTTGTACACGGTGCGATACGATTTCATAAGTAAGTCCGTATCTTTTAATCCTTTGAGATAAGGTGTCAGTATCGATTCGGGCGGTAAGGAAATGTTAGACATCCCTACTTCTCAGACTCCCTTCAAATCCAAACGTGTCGATTTTTCCTAGAATTGTTGGTGTTGTCGGGAAAATATTTAACGCTTCCATCGTTACTGGGTAACGTCAAGTAAAAGTTGCTCATGTCGTAGCGTGCAGGTAAAAATGAATGATGTGTCGGGGGTGAAGTATTTTTATTTATTTCCTTTTAAAATGCAATGTCAATATACTGGGACCTTTATCGGGTAACTCGGCCAGAGTGTTTTTCGTCGTTTCACCCACTTGTGTTTCGATGACGTCGAAATTATTATTTCGTAAGGGGATGTAATGAATGTGCCTCGGTTCGAAATAAGCCGTTCCTTGCAATCTTTCCTGGTAAAGAATCTGACGTAATAAATCGGTGGATTGATCACCCATGATCACTGGCGCACACAGGGAGGAATATACGTAAAGATTGCGTGAACTGGATGCCGTTGTAGGTGTATCGTGGGGGTTGTATTTAAAGGTCCAGATGATATCGCTGAGTAAAAAGCGATGCGTGTCCCTTGTCGAATTATCTTTCCAGGGAATGTCATACCAAAAATACGAACTATCGAGGGTAGTAAGCGGTCTATCGTAACTCCATCCTGTACCGCGTTTCGTCAAAGAGAGATTAGCCCCAGGTCGTGTCACATTATAATTATCTTCTTTCCTTCCACGAAAATCGGTGAATTGAATATGTGAATTTTCCGCCCATCCATCCCACTTGCAGAGTTATCGGGGTAACTCGAAGGATACGTGATTACGGATGCGTGCATCTCTTACATGGGCCGAATCTATGCGCTCACAGGATACTGTGACGGTTCCTTTTGCTGGATCACAGTGCACATCGAATTGAAGTGTTTTTTTCATTTGATAAATGACTACTCCACGTGTCATCCAGACTGAATATAAATTTCAGTCGTTCTTCCTGAAAGACAGCTTCTAAGAGATCGTAGGGGGTATGTAATGTATACCTTTTGATGTCTCCATAAGTGATTGAAAGCGTGACTGTTTTAAAGGCCTTTTGCGAGTTTATTAGTAAGCGACTGGTAGTGAGAACCACATCATCGTCTGATAATCCCTTCAAATAGGGTTCCCAACGGTTCTTGAGCGCGAGACTATAAGGTAAGGATATACTCGATAATCCTACTACCCAATCTCCCTGTAAATCAATGCGTGAATTCAGTTGATTTTTCCAAGACTTGTTGGTGTTTCCGGGAAAGTATTTGACACTTCCACCGTTACTGGGTAACGTCAAGTAAAAGTCACCCATGTCGTAGCGTGTAGGTAAGTGATTGATTTTTCTGTTGCATTGTCTTTATTTAATCCTTCTAAAGTGTAAAGTCACGATGCTTGCACCGTCTTTAGTAAATTGCGCAAGATTATTATTTTCCGATTCGCTGAGTTGCGTTTCCACCTCGTCGATATGTTGATTTCGCAAAGCGATGTAATGAATGTGTTTAGGTTCGTAATAATAACTCCCTTTCAATAGAGGGCGATACTGAAAATTAAACAAGAAAGTAGCGGTTACCCCACAAATGCGTTATCTCGCTTTCTCATCACGAGATTAGGTCCGTGTTTGGCTATGATGGTACTCTGGTAATTCGTATACTTTGTCCAACCAAAAAGATCGCACATGTCTTTCCTCAGTACAAAATGGCAATGAAATTTAAAATTTAGTCGAGAGGAAAATGCACTGTCGTCCACCTTTTCAGACGTCCCTGTAATCGTTCCTTCCTCCTCGTTGAAAATCGTATCAAATTGAAGTTGTTTTTTCCCGGGACTCCACACCAAGGAATCGTTCTGCGTGAGTGAATTTAAAAATAACTCGCACTCTCTGTCGAATAGGATTTTGAGGAAATCGTACGCTGTCGTCATGGGGGTGTCCTTGATGTCTTTATAGGTGACGTCTGTTAAAATACCTTTATGGTTGGAGTTGTTTTGCACTTCGCGAGACGATCTCATCAGCGAGTCGGTATCTTTTAATCCTTTCAGGTAAGGTATCAATAGCGATTCGTGCGGTAAGGCTATGCTAGACATCCCCACTTCCCAGACCTCATCCAATTCCAAACGTTTATTGAGTCTATTTTTCCAAGAATTGTTTGTCTTTCCGGGAAAATATTTAACGCTTCCATCATTACTCGGGAGGGTTAAATAAAAGGATTCCATCATCATCACTCCAATAAAGACCCACACATGATACCTTTTCAACACACTTTATTCCTTTTAATTACAATCCAGCTTTTACTTTAGCTTGCATGATGCGTTTCACAATGCGTTCGGTCATGGTGTTTTTACCGAAACGCTGAATACCGGTAATCATTTTACGATCGGCCTTGTGTTTATCGGATAGATTATTAGCTTTACTATAATCGATATCGTGTTGTTTAGCTAACTTATCGAGACGGTTAATGCCCGGATCCCCGCGTTTAAGACGCATGGCTAATTTCGTACCCGGGCCCATGTTGTGATAACCGGGCCAATGAAATTCTATACCCAGTTTATTAATCCATTTTTGAAGATCGATTTTTCCTCCAGATTGCCTTCTTTTACTTTTTGCCCTTCCCTTGCCTTTGCATTTGCCTTTCGACGCTTTGTATTCGGCATGTTGTTGTACGACTTTGACTGGATCCCAACCTTTCTTTTCCCACGGATCCCACACCTGTTCGATCCTACTCTTTTTTTTAACGGTTTTATGAGCGCTATGCCCCGCTGACTTAGATGCTCCTAGAGGAGTCGAAGGTAACAAACGTTTCCTTGTAAGAATGGGCGTCGAAGGTAAATCTTTAAGACTCATAAACCCATGGGGAAACCTGATGGGTTTTTTTGTGGCACTGCTACCCGGTGTAGAAAATAATTTCTTGGGGGTAATGATCTGTTTTTCTTTTTCTTGGAAGTCGAAGGTGTGTCTGTTTTCTCTTTTACTACGACAGCAGGTTCTTTGCCTGTTTTGACTGACCGAATCAAATCTTTTATTAGGTTCTCTTGCACAGAATCTAATAGATTCCCCTGCTCTCCTCCGTCTTCGCTCGCCTCAGGTCCTACACCTGCGGGTAATTGTTTCAACTGATCGGTTAATTGTCCTTCTTGCATTAATAATTGTTTTATCATGGGTTCTTTCAACCCTGCTCGCGTGTGTGGGTCGCTGAGTAACATCTGAGTTTCGGCTGCGACTCGTGCGGCTTTATCTAACAGGGCACTTTCTGATATTTTCACCTTATAAAAATCCACCATCGCTTGAAATTCTTGCGGGTCGACGATCAGTTTCTTTTCCATAGTTTAAGTATCGGTATCAAAATGTGTTCGCTTATCCAACGTAACCAGGAACACCCCGTGCTGTTGTGGTTATCACCACTCTCGTCAAACTCGATATGAAAGGTAATACCTGCGTCTACTTGATCTTTATTCTCTTCTGCTTCTATCTTGGGTTCATTCATTTTAATGGACAACGACAGAACACTTTGTTCATTCCTCGCCAAAAGCCTCCGCCCGTCTGAGAGGCAAGTAACTGTCTCC